GATCGTGTTCTGTCGCGTCGAATCGCGTCGCGTCGGATGTCAGCGTAGCTGGACCTATCGTTCGAACGACAGCTCTCGGTATTCCACCGATCCGTTTCATCGTTAGAGAAATACCTGCTAGAATATTTATCCTCACCGGAAGATAAATCCGTTCGGATATCTCGTGGCCGAGTCGCATGAATTTTGCATCGCGTCTCGCAACTGTCACCGTTCTTATCGCTCTAACCCATCGCGCCTCTTTTAGCAAGTCTCGGGACACGCGCGAGCAACGTATCCACGAATCGGTTGAACTTATTCACCGGATATCCTCTGCTACGGTCAAACGGGTCGGCTAAATATACTCGTGCGTCTCTTTAACATCCACCGAATGATATTAACCCTTATCCGATGCCAGCTGATTCGTCCATATTTTATTCGACGTTGAGGAGAATCGTTTATTTATTTCCTGTACCTTACGAAAAGCTGCAGTCGAAATCCGAGTTCGGAATCCCGCGGCGCTTTTCGGTTTCGATGAAACGCCTAAACATCAATCGGTCTCGAAAACTGGTCGGTAATTCGAGTTTAGCGACGAACCGGTGAAAGTTTGGTCTCCCAGCGAGGGTAGAACGTACGCGGTGTGTGTCGGGTCAATAGATGACCGGTGGTGGAGACGGTGGTAGAGATGGAGGTCGGTAGGTAGAGGGTACGGAGGGGGGATGAGTTCTCTCTTGGTGGGTAGAGGGTGATGCATCCGCTGAATATGTATGAGGCTCGCGACACCCCGTAGCACACCGAGAGACGACCCGAAGCACCGCTATCTGTGGGTGATAGTGGGTATGCTGTATGTCTCGTAGGGGTCTGCGGCCGAGTCGCGCGGTGGAGCACCGGGAGACGCTGGGCTTTCGAGGGGGTTAGAAGGGGCTTTCGGGGCTCGGCTGGCTGCTAGTTCTGTGGCTGCGAGAGCTTATATCGCAAGAACCAACCCCAATGGAAACTCGAGCCTCCGAGGAGCCTCACCCATCATGCACACTCTCTCACTCTCTCTCTTTCTATCTTCCTCCACCTCCACCATCTCCTCCTCGTTCCTGCTAACCTCCATCCAAAGGTTCCTCTTATACCCTTCGTATCTACTATATCGCGTCTTTGCCTCCTCCTACTTCATCTTGGCTAGCACTCAGCTCCAGAGGAACCGTCCCGCTATCTTCCGAGACAAAGTTACCTCGTAATTCCTTCGCGAACAGATGCCGATATACGCTAACACGCTCCCTCGACCCACATCCACCCCCTTCGAACCTCTTCTTCTCGTCTCCATTCGCGATTTGTCGAAAAAAATTTCACGAGCAAGACCGTTTCGAGTAAACCATTTTCGAGTATCAAACAGGAAGTTGAAACGTCATTTCTACGGAGGGGTTGATCCGTCGATGAGAACGGTACGATATATATGATCCACTAAATAGGGAGGACTGCGCGTGAACGACGAATCCCGCAAGACAGCATGAGATATTGCCGGATTAGGGTGCATTATAGTTTTAAGCTCGTCCCGTTAAAAGCCACCGGTTCTCATGCGGAGAAACCGTCTTGTTATCAATTTCGCGTAAATTGGAAATGAAAGGATCGCGTAGCGAGCAAGGGGTTAATGTAGGTCAATAAAGCGAAGGAATGGCAGGAGCCGGGGTTGTTCGCGATTCGTGGCGAACAAAGTTCTTGCGGGACGCGTAACGGCACGCACGCTGCTCGTTCGAAGGATACGCTAGGGGTTGCAAGGCTTATCGAGATCGTCCTCTCAAAGGGTACAGACAATTCGCGCGGCAACCCTTTTATTCGAGGGTAAGTCGTGCGCGATGGAACGGCTCGTTGAGCGTCACTGTTTTCTCCAAGGGTCGGGCGTGAGGAAGGGTTGATCTAGGCAGAAACGGGGCGGGTGGTGCAGAGAGTTGGAGGAGTGACTGGCAACGAGGGAGAAAGGAAAGACCGTGGTGATAATAAAGCAGACCGGCCGCGCAATAAAATATATCCTGAAACGGAGGCGATGACTCGTTTAGACAGAGAAAGGGGGCGCGCTTCATTAGCGAGTCCAAGTTCATCGCTAACCCCTTAGGCTCGACCGTTCGCTCTTCTTCTAGCCGCAGCCCTTTTCGATTCATTCCACCGGGGATACGCCAAAAATCCTCGGATAATTAACCGTTCCACGGGCATCCTCGCCTGGAATGCGACCGTTCAATGAGCCTGGAATGCCGAACAACTTCTTTCGCTAAGCTCCGGCCCTCTATTCACCACGCTGGTATGGGTTCGAATTGACCCTGTCTCGGCCACACGCGAACACCGCTAATGGCATTAACGTAAATTCCATATAATGAACATTTTCACTGTTTATTCTTCGAACAAAAGGAATTCAGGAATCGCGAAACGCCGATTAGTGTCGCAAAACGATCTACCAAAAAATGAAAAAGGAACGCGAAAATAGAGTCGTTAGAGAAAGCGAGCAGCCGTTCCTCCGGAAGATGCCGGCCAGGAAAAGACGTATCTCGTAAAATCGGCGAAAAGCTCCGGTCCGAGGGATGGTCCAGGGGAGGATGGTTGGTTTGAACGACAAACGGGCCGGCAACGAGTACGGAGACAAAAACTGAGCGAACATAGCCCGAGAACGGCGGGAAGAAAAGTATAACGACTCATGGAAGGAGAAATAACGCGCGACTTTAGTACGTTCTAAAACTCCCATAAAGCCGGCGTACGTCAAACTTTTCAATTTTATGTTTCAACGTTTCGTCCACCCTCCACCTCGTTGCGCCACTTAAGCTTTGTCTCCTTTATCGGTTACGGAATTGATCGAAAATTTGCGAACAAACGCAGGAAGACGTATAGGTATCATCAGACTTTCGAAGGTAAAATTAGAATTTCGACGTAGATATTTTGAAAGGCTCTTCCGAAAGGTTGAAGGCTATCGTATAACCACCCCCCTTTTCTCTTTCTCGCGCGGAAGAATTCCCGTGCGTGTAAAAACAAGCTGACAAAAGAGGGAACGCCTCCCTCGGATGCGCCCCCATTAGATGTTTATCGAGAGTGTGAAAGAAACACGATTAAACCTGCGAGGAAATCGGATGCCCGACCGTTCACACGTTCCGTTATTAAGAGAGCGTGTTGGTGCGATTGGAGCTGGTGCGAAAAGACGATCCACGGTTGTCGTTGCATCACGGTGCCGCAGATAGGCATCTAAATAGAGATCTTCGGCCCTTTGAGCATATAATTTGGTTTTCGATGCGGGGACAGCTGTCGCTCGATCGAACTTCTGGCCGACCCGGACCGAAGGGTGTCGCGATCACGATCGTCACGAGCAGTCTTCCCGCGCTTTGATCGCAGATTACGTTCGTTAGGTCGCAAGGGCGGTTGAGGAAAGAAAAAAAAGCTCGTTAGAAACTAACGCGATAATCGAGGAAAAATCATGGCGGCGTTTTCTAAGCAATCGACGAAGAAAGGGTCAAGGAGAAGAAGGTGGTCGCGTTAACGTGCGAATAGCCACGGGGTGGTTTGATTATAGACAGAGGGGGGTGAACGGGACGAGTACCTGCGAAGCGAATCGAACGCCAAGTGGCCCGGAGCATTTGATGTACTTAGGCAAATGTGGCACCCACTACGCGTCGAGCATCGACGCGAGAAGAAAGAAGAGAATAGGAAAGGGAAGACGGGGTGGCGAGGCCAGAAGGCCGTGTGATGTATTTGTAAAAAGGTGTCGGCCTGGAACTAAGGAGGCCCGCTTGAACTGCGCCCCGAGGGAGCGTAACCGGCGCGCCGGCAGGGCAGGGAGGTGGTAGATAAAAGAGAATTGTATAAAATGGGGTGTACGGCCCCACGAGCTGCGAGTGAGGGGGCTCGGCACGAAGGCGGGAGAGGTGTTCGATGCCCGTGGGGCACCCTGCGAGCAGCTAGAAACGCCATTTTGCAGCTCTCGGAGATCGTGAAATCGAGCAAAGAGCGAGTGAAACATGAATTCGCATTCGACGAAAGGAAGGAAGAGCAACGACGAGGACGAGGGGACAGCAACGCGTCAGGCCGATCTGTCAAATTTCATTTCACGCTGGCGAGAACGGGCACGAGCAACTCGATGGGGCCGGATAAGGATCTGCCGACACCTACGTACTTGCGTACCCCGGCTTCGCCTCGACACCCCCTAATCTGTCACCGCAGACCCCATAGACGTCGAACGATCCTCGCCAAAAGAGACGTCAAAATATCGCGCTTGCACCGCTGCAACTCACGACGAAACGCGTTTTGATCGCGAGGGAAAGACGTCGCGCCACATACGACGAGACGTATCGTAATTTCCGCTGGATTTTTCAACGTCTACGTTTCTAGAAACGCAACGAAAATGGAATTTTCATGCCGTTCCGTTGAACACCAGCATTATTCTTGTTTCAACCGTGTCTGCTGTTCTTCTTTTCCTGCTTACACACGAGCGATGCGAAATGGGAAAAGAAGTTAGGAAATCTGGAAAGTGTATTTTTTAAGAGGAAGAGGAGAGGAGATTTTAGTCGAGCGTGTGTATCGATCGTGGAGGACCTTGATGCGCCGTATCGTACGGTCGGTCGGTCGGTCGGTCTCATGCTAGAAGCTTTGTCACTCGGAGCACGTACTCGGGGCAAGGACCGACGCCGCAAGCTCTCCGCCTCTCTCTTTCTCTCTCTCCTCTCCTGCCTGTGTCGCTCTCCTTCTTACTCGCTCTTATCGCCCTACCTTTCTAACAACGCGCCATTGTGTTCCGCCACGCTGGAAGCCTGTATATTCCTTGACGCTATGGATTTTCCGAAAGCGTTTCGCTGCTTCGCGAGTATGCCGCGCATCGTCTCGCCTCGCCTCTCCAGCCCTCGCGCCGCCGCGCCCTTTTTCCTTCTCGAACTTTGCGCGGAAAACGTGGACGAAAGCTCGCGATCGAGCGACATCTGTCACGAGGACGAGATGCGATCGCGCGATTCGTTTCCGCGGAATCGCGTTGCGAAATCGACCAGTCAGCGAGGATGCGCTCGACGATGACGCCACGAGTAACCAAAGTGAGTCGAGGATGACACGACGGCTCGATTCGATTCGATCGTGCAAACGGAAGCCAATCGCGTGAGTCAGACGCGAGCGAATCCGCGGCACGTTGAACAATGCCTGCCGACCGACCAAAACCGACAATCGAACACCGTTCTGTCGCCGACGCCTCGTTCCTCTACCCAGTGTCCGTTAAACGCACTTCTTCGCCTTCTTAAAAATAATTCTGCATCGCTTCTCGCGCGATGCATTTTTCAAATCGCAGCATTGAGCAAAACATAGCTGGTCCCGCGAGACGCGGCGCGATACCGACCTCGTTACCGAGGGCCCGTCTTCGTCGCGAATTATAAAGTTCTTAGGGAGTTTGTCGGCTCGTTTTTTCGATCAACTCGAAGCCGAGGTGTTATTCGCGGGCTCGACGAGCCAGTCCGAAGCAGCCCGTTATTTAATCTTCGACCAGCTCGTTATCCGGCAATTATGAAGACTCGCTCGAATCGATGACGAGTTTTTAACCCGTCTACGATACGTTTTTTCCATCTTCTTCCGGTCGACGGACGAGTATAAAGAAAACGTGGTCGTTCAGAGACACCGTGTACGTTTGGAATGACGGCCTCATCCAGATATGGTAGACCCTTCCTTCCTCTGCACGGTTCGCCCCCGAGTGGCGTAGATTTCAGATAGGTAGGGGTACGTAACGCGTACGTATACGCGGCTGCCGAGTACGGGAAGTTTCGGTGCGTAAGCTGGCCGAGTCGAGCCGATAGCGTCACCTTTCTGTTCCATTGAAATCCCCTTTAAAATTCGAAACACGAAAAACTCGAGAGCCCGTGCGCTCCATCCTGGTGGCCCGTCGAGGCCGCTTGGCTGCCTCGTCCCTGGCTTTCTCTCGCTCGTGTTTTCGCTTTCAAAACCGAGCCAATACCTCTATCGAGATATACACCGATGAAAAATCGGTCGAAAAGTTCTTTGAAATCTCGAATTTTAAGAAGTGCCCGGAATTTCACGAACTTCCCTTCCCACGATTACGCGACGCCTGGAATTCGCCGTGAATGGTAACGCGTCGAGGCGGCAGGAAATAATAAAGCGATATCCGGAATGGAGAAAAAAATTACCGGCGTATTAGCGGACGCCTGCGGGGGGTCTTTGACGAGCTAGCAAGAGAAAAGATGAGGCGATATCTATAACCGTATAACGCCATACGTCGCCACCGGTTGTTGCTGCTGGTGTACGGAGCTAACTGGTGGTCCCTATTGGCCAATAACGCCCTTCCCCGTAACATAGTGGCACAATAACGTAGGTTCTTTATGCGAGTACAGGGCAAATAGATCACATTGCTGACTAATAAGCCCGCTGGTGCGACGCCGTTCTCCCTTCGACTTTTTCCTCCGTCTTTGCTAACGGTCTCTCTCTCCGGTCCGTCCCCATTCGGAACGGCCCGTTTCCCCGCTTTTTCCCTGGTTTTCTTCCGAAATTTCTACCTACCCCGTCTATCAATAGCGTTACGCGTAGCCTTTGCGCGCAGAGGGTGTCCGGCATTGTGATGCTAATGCGAAACGCAATCGATCCGGCTCTCGTTACGTCCTCGTAAGCCACGAGAAAAAGCCACGAGACCTCGTGAACTTTGACTTTTCTCTTTTTTTCACGGGAATCCATGGGAATCCACGAAAGGACTTCGACGAACGAGTAGCATCGCAAAGAGATTTTCTGGGAGGGGGGGGTGGATGTTCGGGACGGATGGTCGGGTAACGGGTCAACGACAGAGACAGGAGCGATAGGATCTCGGATGGGATCAGAGGGTAGGAATCGCAGAGACGGTGAAGGCAACCGTCAGTCTATATTAAATCGCAGAGCGAGGATAATACTTCGAAACTCGGAGACCGTCTCTCGATTACCGGTCTAATTATCTGGCAAGGCAGGATAGGGCAACCCCATCTTCCGGAGATGGAATTGCCAGTTCCCACCGTCCTTCCAGTTACCGACGTCGAGTCTACCCTACTACCGAGGTCATTGTTACGTCGTTACTACCCTTTAGTACGGTTCTCCAGCCAATTTCGGTCCGGCACGACAGCTACGATTTCCGCCACCCCTTCACGGCTGACCGAGTACGGATTTCCCCGCGAAATCGATCACCCCTTCCTTCCTCTCCTACCTTCTTTTCTCGAACGACCAAAGGGAGCCCCTTGGTCAGCGATTCGAATCTACAAACCGATTCGAATTCGATTCGAACCTAACCCGACTCGCGTTCCTTTCCAACCTCGGACACGATGGAAACAGACGAAACAAGGGAATTTATCGCGGTAGGTGGCAGAGTTAAGCTAGACGACGAGGACGAGGTCGGGCCTGCAATCAATACCGTTTCGGTATCACGTTGGAAACACTCTCTCCGAAACAGCCTACGTTTCGCTTCGGACGAGAGAACGAGAGAGGAGAGGAGAAGATGGTAAGGCGAAGGAGGCCGAGGAGACAAGGGAGAGAAGGGCATCGTATCGGATAGAAGAGAAACGCTGCCTCGGATGGACGAAGAAAGGGACGGAGGGGAGATGGAGACTTGGACCAGGTTTCGTGGTCCGCATACTGATAGGACTAGTGGTACGTAGGGAGCGAGAGCGTTAGCAAACGCCAAAACAGACTTGCTTCGTCATTGGTAAAACCCCGAGTGGAAAACAACGACCCTCTATCCGTACGATTCGATGTAATTATTCAAGGGACTCGTGAAAAACAGGACAAAGATTATCGAAACGATTTTCGAAACGGTTTTCAACTGGAATCGAAGGAGAGGTGAAAAGGGGCCAGGAGGTTTGTTGGGTGGCATTTGTACGAAGAGGCGCAGGTAGCCCGGAGCTATGGGGTGAAAAAGAGGTGGAGGAGGGTCAGGAGAGTGTCTCTTTCTCTTTCTCGTCTCTTTTCGTTTGGCGAGTATGCTTCGTACGGCTAAGTGGGTACCCACTTCTGAATTGGCTCCCCTCGTTCCACTCGTTGGATCATCGTCGTTCGCCGAAAATTCGATCATTATGATTGCTTATGATGTAAATGATGCCCCGAGGCAGCAATTGTTTCCGTCAGAACGAACTCGTGGGGCTGCGGGTCTCGATGCTGCCGCCACGTCGCGCATAGTTCGAAACCGATCGAGTTCGACAGGCTGGCCAAGGCAGGTTCATGAAAATCGTCGCGCGGAGAATTTTTCGTAAAGATCCCTCGTATCGGTGCTCGTTTATCGACGCACGGAAGTCGTCGAGGAGAATAGAACCACTCGCGGAGGGTTGAATCTCCTAATTTGCCCTCGGCTTCTTTACGACCGTAATTTTAAATTCCGGTGAAAAAGCGAACTATATTTAGGCGTTCAGCCTAAATAGCCCGGAAGGGGGATCGTTCCGCGTTAGCTGGAAGGTTCGGCTGGAAGAAGCCGCGAAATCGAGGCGAAAACACACGTGAAACGTTCGGGAGAGTCCGGCTTCGTGTAACGGAGATCTACGGGCTCCACCGCCTATTACGGTAATTTCACGGTATCCCGTCTATTCCTTAGCTCCGGAGGAGCACGACTAATTTCATTAGGGATAAAGATCATCATTATTTCGCGACCGTCCCGAAAATTGGCTGGCGTGCCTCTCTTTTTCGCGATACGGCTCTCGAACGGTCGACTTTCGAGCTTCCATCCACACAGCCCCGGGGGCCAGACCGGACCCCATCAACCGCCTTGTCTTTATTGTACCCCTGCAAACGAGTTTCGCTAACATTGTAGAAATTTTCGGCAGATCCGATCGATCCTTGATCACGGTGCGAGTATACAATTTACACAAAAGAGCAGTGCAACGTGAAAAGAAAAAATGTCTGAAGCAAAGGAGACCGTAACACTCGGTGTCGTGTCGCGTCGCGTCGCGTCACGTCGGTGACACGTCGCGTCGCCTCGCGTCACCTCGCGTCACGTAACGTCGAGGGTCCGTCGAATGGATCGGCAGGAACGAATCTCGCATCCGGTCGCCGGTGTACGCGTCGTACGATCGCGATAAATCGAGGCTCGATCGGTCGTCACGTAACTCACGTACACGAGAGCAAGCCTGGCTAGTCGGCTTTTTCTTCGGCCGGCTAGCCTCCGGTGTCCGGCGCTCGAAGGAATCTTTGGCGAACGCATCGAAACGGTAGTCGCCGGGAAAGTAGACGCAACATTCCCGTAGATTTTTCTCGGCGAGCCGCGTTCCACGGACAGGAAACGAAATCCTGGACGTGGCGCGATGCCGCTGCACCGATAATTGACCGTTGGACGGAAACTTGCGCGGATTGCTGAAATTGTCAGACTAGCTGTCGCGCGGCACAGCTTTTCCTCGGAAAACTCTGTCGGACCGGACCGACAAGAAGACGCTCGGTACCTCGCCAGATTGAATTGCAAATTGAACGGCGAAACGAAAGTTTATTACCGAGTTGCCCGTAGACCGCCGTGGATTCCTACGGAAAATTAAGCGGATATTACACCTTTCGATTTCATTTATTCCTTTTCTATATCGATTAACAAGACTGCGGTTAGTTCTCGTTTCGCGTTACGTTGCAATTCGACGAAGAGGCGAATACGTTCGGCAGGTATTTCGTGGTTGGTAACCAACATCGTTCCTTCCATTGGGCCAGTTATTATTTCTACGGTCGACGTGATTTATGCCTTTCCTCGGGACGAACGAAAAAAATCTTGCGCAACATCACGCGACGCCATAGCTAGCTGCCGGGAAAACGTTTGCGTCCTCGTGCAACGCGCCATTAAACGAACCGCCTGCTCGTAGACGCGAGCACGCGAAACAAGCGGAGAGAAACTGACAGCCCGTTCCAACATTACCTATCGTTTATTACCTATAACGCTTATTACCTATCGCTCAAAAGGATCCAGCTGCCTCTGTCGCCCCCGATCCCGGCCTAACCGACTAATTGTTCCCTCTAATTGACCAGGTTCTCAGGCTTGGACGCTACGCCGCCGCGTTCCTCTTTCTCTTTCTTTTTTTTTCCCCACCTTCGAACCGCCTGAAGAAAAGAATTCATCGCCGAGACTTTTCCTCCTGCCCGAAAACGAGACACTGTCGGTCGGAACGCGAACCACGAGACTCGTTTCCGGTGAAAATCGTAGGTGAAACGGAGCTGTCGGAATGATCGAAACCGTGAGAAAAGCTTGGCTCTTAGAGTTGAGACGTTTCATTCGACACAGAGACAATTTTGATCCGTTGGGAAACTTTTATTCGAGGAAATTTCAGGTTTCTTTATTCATTGAAATTTGAGAAAATTATTCTTTCGAATGAAAATGTTTCGTCAATGAGAACTGAGACGTCAAGAGTTAAACCACGCGGGATAATGAAAGTGGAAAAGTGTCGTGTCGCGACGCAATTTCGCGGTTATTTTTCGCGTGTTTCGCAGCCCTTCCGCAAAAAGCGATGCACGAGCGGCAATTACACACGTAAAGCGAAATATTAACAGCCGGCCTGTTCGAGCCGCCCTCGCGGAACAATTAACCGGGACTCGAAACGAGATATCGTCGATTCGTTTTCGTTCGCGTGACAAAACTCTTACGTGACAATTGACTAGCGAATTCTTTACAAGTCGCGCTTCCGCCGCGTGTTTATCGGCCGAGAGCCATTGACGCGGTACAAGCGTGGCAAAAGTTTCAGGAAACTCGCGGTTGAACTCGCGGCACGCGTCCCGATACCGCGTACCGACAGCGAGAATCGGCTGGCGCGTTGTAAACTTTGTAAACGCGTTTACTCGGACAAAATTGTTCCCGGCACGAAAGCGATTCTTGTATCGCCTAGTATTGTTTCGTTCTCCAGCGAAACGGAATCGCTGAAAGGATATAAAGGCGAGTCACGCGATAAAGCAAAACACCGTGGAGTACGCGTAACGACGATTACGAGCTGCTCGACAGTGCGTGCTTTCACGCGACGATCCGACCGTTGCGATCGCGTTGCGGACGACAGCTGCCGAATAAATGTTGAAAAAAAAAAAAGCGCTAGTCGAGCGAAATTTCGAGTGGCACCAGAGGGGTGCCCGTCCACCCCAGCGAAACACCCTTAGCCCGCGGGCCAAAAAGGCAGCGCACAATATTTCCTCGGCTCGATAAGTCGATCGTCGGCGAAAAGAGGAAAGAAAGTTTTCGTTGGTGCGAAAACCGTGATAATTCCGGGTATTAACGGACGGAAGAGACACGGACGTCGAGCGTATTTCAAGCTTTCGTCGGTGTCGCGGGCGGAAAAGGGGATGGGTCAGGTCGAACGGAAACAAGGCGCGAAGTTTATTCGCGTTTTGGCGGTGGTCCAAATTTTCGGGCGAAATAAAAACGGCGTAACACACGCTTCGTTACGTTCAGCGTCGGTCGTGTCGACGCGACGCGAGAAACGGCTCTGCCTTGTCGGGTTTAACGAAGTAACGCAGGCTAGACGTCCCCCGACGACGTGCCGCAGAAGGGTCGCCTCGTTGCACACCGCCAAGGGGCAAATTTTCGAGGGTGGTTTCGCGCGTCAATGCTTTATTAAGAAGCACTTGTTTAAAGGTAGCCCCCGTTTCGTTTCCGACAGCCAATTCGACCGCGACGTCTGTGTCACTCGGCTCAACAAATGGATGGAACGAATAAGCGTCGGCGCGAACGCGAAACCAGGGACCAGAGATCCGTTCACCCCACGGCGATCCGTCCTGTCGACCGTAATTGAAGTTATTGCAATATTGTGTCCTGCCAACCCGCCTGTCCTTCCGCCCTTCTCTTACCGAAACGTTTCACGAAACAACGAAAACTTCAACCCCTCTGTAATATTCCAACTAAGATCTTAGTTTCTCCTTATTTTCGTAGATCCTCTCGTTTGCGGCAACGGGCGACGCGACCACGCCTGCTTTAATCTACACCCCCGTAAGGATAATGGTTCCCAGGATATATACTCGCCGGGTACGACACGGTAAACCGCGACGACTCGATTAGAAGCGCGAAACGAAAGCAACGTTGAAGCTGGTTGTCCGATTATGGTTACAGGGGGTGAAAAAAAAAAATGGTACGTTTCGAGTCGAGTATGGCGCATGTTTTCACGGAGCGACATACGTTGGTGGACGATCGAAAAAAGGAATTCTTCGCCGTGCTATTTCTATCCCGTGGTGAGCAGGAAATTCAATTCGGACCGTGAATAACGACTAACAAACCGCAGTTATATCGTAAAAAGCAATGCACCGGGCTGAGAATTAATTCCGGCTAGCTCTCCACCCACCGAAGCCCTTTTTCCCTGTTGCTCTCTCTTTCTCTTTCGGTTCCAACTGGAACGGTCCCAAAATTCAATAAAGGCGAACGAGTACGAACGAGATCTCCCTCGGCTACGGCTGGCTTTCGTGCGGGGTAGCAGCTATACGGAGTTAGGAGAACCCCGGAGTCATCGTGCGAGAAAGGAAGGAGCCGGGGTGGCGAGAGGAGAGAGGGTGGAACGGTGCATACATTAGCGGGGACAGGGTGGAGATATTGTCTGAACAAAGGGATCGGCTCGTACCTATCGAAAAGGCGATTAAGCGAGGATAAAGTTATACCTCCCCACCCATTCGGTTCGCGTTCCCCGCTAAGCCACCCTCTAGTGTCGCCCTGGGTGTCGTCGATCGGTTTTGCGTTAAAATCGCTTCCTGGCCGCACGTGTGCGTCTCTCGGCCGATCGATCTACGAGCTTTCCGATTAGCCGAGGAAAACGTTCGATTAGCCGGTCTCGGATCGTAAATTGGTTTTGTTGCGTCCCGTCGTTCGAAGGAGGCGCGAAGGAAGAGAAGCACGTGGTCGGGATAGCACGTGGCGGGAGAGGTGAAAAATCGGCGCGGCAAAGAACGCGCAGCCGTTTTGTGGGCAGCGTTAAATGGCCCGTTGAAACGGGCGAACGCGAATGCTTTTCAAGCAGCCAACCACGGATGACGCGATAAAGCACGTCGACTAACGCGAGATACGACCAATTAGCCCGCGTGCCAAGTATGCGATTTAAGTCGGCTCTCGAGGTCCCGGCGGTGCCTGCCAACCGGTGCGATTCCAGCCGAAACGAAGCCCTTCTGTTGGCTTGCATATTGCGCGTTCCCGCGCTTAATCTATGGCCTCCCGTTTCATTTCGTCTCGTTTTCTTTCTTTTCTTTTAATTCGCGAGAATAACTGCTCCTACCGCCGCCATTCAATCATCGGTTCTCTGCCTACAGGTGCTCCGCGAGTGCATTCCATCGACGATGGAATTTAGAAGCGCTACGAATTTTTAATACCATCATAAATTACCACTTCAGCGATTAGTTTATATTTTGAAACAAAGGACATGCATTGGATATTTTTAACAGCAATTGTTCCGATCTTCCACTTACCCCCAACGTGGTTGTTATCGAGCCCGGCGCAGCATCCTTCTCAACGTCGACATCCGTTTTTCCTTTTATTTTCTTCGTTGTTTTCTTCCTATCCGAAACAACCGTCTTTCTCCACCTCCCTCTTCCTCTTTCTTTGCCCTCCCCCCCTCTTCTTATCCGTTTCACCCCCACCCGTTCTCCGTTGATACTCCCTCCCCCTGGTGGGAAAGCCATCTCAGGGGGTCTGGCGGAGGTTCGAGGCAGGGGGAGGGCCGGCAGAGATCAGCGACCACGTGACCGACGTGACCGGAACCGCACGAAACGCGGAACCGCGTCCCGTCCTTCGTCGCGTCGTCCTCCCGCAGCTCGCGGTTCGTGGGTCGTGGTTGTTCAACACTCGTAATCTTTTCCCACATCCTCGTAGCCGTGTATTCCTGCCCCCCTGCTGGAAATCACGCACGCTCCCGCGACTCCGATATTCTTTGATCCTCGACCGCGAGGAATTTCCTTCCATTTTCGCGATAGGGACCGGACCTTTCTCCGTTTCTCCGTTGAGAAGCGTGCTGTACTAGCGACTGCTATCTGCCGCGGAGCGAGTCGACCGCGGGACTTTGGTATACTGGGAGTATGGTAAGTAGCTACACCCCTGCCACCGCCGCCCCTCCCTCGTTGCCGCACGCCGTTCGTTCCCTCGAACGTCCCGAACCCGCGCCTCTCCCCTCCTCGCCGCGCCGTTCAACCAACCGATCCTATACCCCTCTGCCCTCCGCGGCAACGAACCGACACCGCTACCGACACCGCCACCGCCTCCAACTCTACCGACACGTACCCCTCTCGCCGATGCGTTTACCTCGCGGCGCTCCAGGGACGTATTCATCGACGATTTATTTCGTTCGTGCGTTCCTATCGGCCTCCTTACTGCCCGCATGTTCCATCGTTCGATGTTTATTAGAGATTGCGATTCCTAGGTATACTTTTGCAGGAAATTGCAATTGATATTTGAGAAATCCTCGTACGCGAAGGAGCACGCACCTGAGAGATCGCGACGACTGTGTCACGTTGCGGCGAACGCATGACAGACAATGTTTGCATGCTAACGTGTCTATTATAATGGCGACATTTGTTCCTCTTCCTTTCTCTCTCGCGCCTCTCGTAGCCCCTTCTCGTCGTTGCATTCCGTTTCACTTCGACGCGCGCATAAATTACCGCATTCAAATGCAAAAGCATGAACCAGACGAAGTTTTCCCTGCCGAACTGAACTTCCACTTCTTTCCTTTCAGAGAACGATCGTCCGCGGCGATGTTCTACTCTCCCGAATTCGGAGGACGAAGAGGGTTCGAGGCCCTAGCAGAAGGAAGGAACCGGTAGAACGCGGTGCCGAGGACGAGGAGAGAGGGCGTTTATTAGCAATTGTAATGCAAGATCGCGGAATGCATGGGATCCCCGCGATGCCTCGATACAACAGTGCCGGTACGCGTGTTCCTGGTAACACGATTCCCGATCGCGTTCACTATCTTCGCAAGGGCTTTGTCCCGCTCTGCTCGCCCCGTCAACTCCTAACATCGGGCATTCCTTCGAGCGAAGCCTGCGCGATCTTCCAAGATACCGAAATACCGAGTAAATTTCCACCGCGATTACCTCGACAACATCCATTCCTAATCGCTCGATAAACTTCTTCCTCCGAACTGACAACTGATCTTATCCAGCCTTGTAAGTATACTGGAATTATGAAAATTATTTTATTGAATTGAAACGATGCTGATGGAGAACACGTTTTACTAAAATTTTAGAAAATTAGAGGGTGGTAGGTAGTTTGGAAGATGGAAGGTGTTCTGCATCAGGTATCGATTTGTTTAATGGCGGTGTTGGTCGTTTACGGTACGTGGGAACTGATTTGCCGAATGCATGTGCGACACCATGCATGTTCCATGATGCTGCATGCAACTGCATCGCGAACAACGGTGTAGCGCGTTGTAAACCGGGATCGAGCGCACTTATCGCTGAAAGACGAGGCCTGGCAATAAAGAGTGACCGTATAAATATAGAACCCTTCCGTATAGAATCCATTCCGAGTAATTTATCCTGGTAATAAATATTTGATTTTAATTTGACATCGAAGAAACGAGCTTCCGCGAACGTTGTTGCCTAAAATAGTTTGGTACATCCGGTTCCGCAGTAAAAGGGTTGACGCACCAGGACACCCCTTCGATCGTAAAGACCACCCTCTGTCAAAATCGCTTCTAAATTACACGCGTTCTACTAGCGCTTGTAAGTTACGAAAGAAAGTTTCCATCTAAGCGCAACAAAAATTTGTCGGTACCCAAAGTAGGTGACAGGAAGTCGAGGGAAAAAGGCGGGAAAAAGTAACGGCGAGGATAGTGGAAGGTTGTTTGAACCGTTTATGTTAATCAGCCGTGACGTCATAGCGGCAATATCAACCCCAACTTTGTCCAGGAGTAGCCGAAACGTGCGCGCAGGGTGTATCACGCTCCTCCCGCAACCACCCTCCCTCCCCGTGTTAACCCTAGCGCGCACCCTTTGTCGACGTTAACCCAAAGTGAATGGACCTATAGTGCGCGCGTTACAGGGACGGTTTTAACTTCGGGGTGACTTACCCCGAGCGTTATCTATTTTGACAGCGCGGTACGACCGCGGTCTGTCGGGGGTTGATGCACGCCGGTGTGTCGGTAATTGCGTTTTAACCGTTCCCCGTATCGTCGCGATAAAGGGGGGTTGAAAAAAAGAATACTCGAAGACGCGAGTTCTTTTTTTATCCTCTCGAGACAGGCGGATGCGCAACAGCCACCCTTTCCCATCGATTTAGAATCATCAATCAGGTTGTTAGTTACGCGTCTACACGGCAGTTTGTTTTATTCCGACGGCATACGAAATCCGTTAATTTTCAACAAATTGGAAGCATAATAGTGGAACAGGCATTTATTTACAGCGAAGCCACGGCAGCGGCAACACGGCTCTGCAGGAATCATGGCCGGAACGTATGCAATATGGCATTCAATTTGCGACGGATTCGCTGTCTGGCAACGCAAACAACCGCTATTGGGTTCCATTTAATGAACCAAGCCAGAACCTTCGGAAGCATTTTTGCGTTCTGGGCTCGGCTTAAATTGCACCTACCCCTCGCTCCTCCTCGATCCACCACCGTTACCGTTTTACTCGTTTTTTCTATTTGCTTCCTGCGACTTACGCCTCGATGATTCTCCTCAATACAGTGCCCAGTCGACGCGTTCCTCGTATGGAGGTAACCGTATTCGATTCGTCGCTTACCTATTTGGTTCAGCCATGTTTCTCTTCGGATAAATACGGTTAGACGTTTAAAAGAGTAATTTGAAATGTTTCAGAAGATCTCTATACTCTTCGCCGTGAGTAGAGAGTAGGTTATCGCGATGGATTACGATGGAGGTAAATTTTTGTAATTCTCCATCTCTGTCCGCGTGTCGGATGTTGGTCTCTGGTCGAGCGATACAGGCAGTCGATCGACGGAGAGTCGCTCGTTAAAAATATGAAGGCTTAGGAGAGCAATCCTCTTAAAAAGTTCCTCGGGTCGTGGAAGGATAACGCGAGGATGGAGCGAGAGGGAAAACGGGACACCGGTATCGGCGCCGTATCGTTCGAGCTCGCAAGTGTCCGGTAAGCTAAGCGGATCCACCGTAATCCGGATTACGTATTTGCCCGGTTCTCTGCCCGCTGCCATCTCGATCTCGTGCCAGTCGGAGCTAAAGACGTATTTGCCTTCTGGCAACGCGCCGCCGTCTGTTGTCGGTAATCTGTTTAACGCCTCGCGACCAACAAGACAGCGAATCATCTTCTTTTTTCATTTCTCCTTTTTCTTCTCTCACCGTAAACAGCCTTGGTAATCAAGACGATCGACGTTATCGCGATTTCCGCGGATACGCTCGAGCTACTTTCAGTCCATCGTCATCATCGATCGGTAGCGATCTTTAAACAGCGCCATTAACGATTGCGTGCACAAGCCGAGGGGGTCGCGATCAAACGAATACGATGAAAGAGTGGCGGCATTAGGCGAACGTGCCGTGCATACTGATTTGCGGCTGATTGATTGGACCCCTTTCCACTCGACAACGGTGTGTGCACCACGACTATCCTGTCCTGCGTCCCCGCCCGTTCAGTTCGTTCGCATCGGCTGCTACCCGCGCGGCCCGGTTGATTCCGCCCCACGAGCTAGCCCCAACATCGTCGATATTATCGAGCAGCCTCTGCCTGCTCCGGCATCAACGTACCCGCGAATATTTGACGCGTCGCCTCTCGTCTCCTCTCCTCTCGCGTCACGTCGATACACCCTGATAATTGCACGATACACCGTGCAGAGAACCTTTATCCCGATATTTTTCCGGACGAATCCCGGCTACCGTTTAACGTTCATTAGCGCGCTTTATCGTCCTCTCGCGACGCGTCGTCGAGCGAAGGAAATTCGTGTCGTTTCGATTAAAAAAGAAAGATACACGGTGTAGATTTAGACGGGTTTTCGAATGGGTTTCGAAAGATGAAAAGGGAGCGAGAAAGATTTGGAGCAGGGCTCGTTGGTTATCGTCATTGTCTCAGGGACGAGTTACCCTGCGCGAACTGTTGGCCTGTAACGTAATTGTTTTTGACGCGGTAATTTTACAGTGTCGTGCGTACACGTACGAGACGCGTCGGTGGCGAAGCGTCGCGATAACCGGCGCGGCGCGGCGTGCTTTTCCTTCTTCTTTCCTTTTTCGACGTCACTCCGGCAGCCACGACAGCCTCTTCGCTGCTCCGGCAGTCGTCTGCCAAGTCGCGAGCCGCGGGTCCTTTCCATCGCTCGACAGCCGTTTCAACTGTTCCCCTTGACGTTTCCTCGGGAGAACATCTCCAGACGTCATCCGTCGCCTTTTTCGAAATAGGACGGAATATTTGTTAATTTCCCAGGGAAACTCGATGGATGCTGACGGAGTGGGTGAACGGGGGCAACTAGAGCGAGGTTTCAAAAGGCGAAGAAAAGAAAGAGGAACGAACGAGCCCTCGAAGAGAAGCTGGGAGGAGAGGAGGTTACAGGAGTATCCATCGCGGGAGAAGCTGCACCGCCCGGAGGAAGGAAAGCGGTTCGAGTTCTACTCGTCTCGCTCGATCGTGTTGCCCGGCTACGGACGTTTCTGTCTTTGTCCCTGTCGTGCATACGCGCTCCTCGCACGCACACAGCTGCGTGGCCATCATCCTCGCGATCCGAGACGTCTCGGAGTGAAGCGCAGGGAGCGCAGAAAACGAAGGGAGCCGAGGAAGAAGGTGGACCCGCCACCAGGGTTCTCGATGGGTTCCGCGACCAAAGTAGCCGCGAGCTACCACCGAACTCGGGGGGCCCCCTTCCTCTTCGAAATCTCGACGAGATTTCAGCCTCGGCCACATACCGAACAAAGTATCCCGCCGCATCGTCTTCTTCTTCCTTCACTCGTTCGACGTTCGATCGGACGAACGGGTGTCGTCCTCGATTATTACCTTTCCTTCCCTCGGTTCCCGACTTTCGCGCGAAATTTGCCAGATTCTTCTCGGAAATCGGTCCGCGATTCGAGCCGACCATCGAGCCCATCGAGGGTGAGCGCAACGGGTGCGAAGATACGTCCGTTCGCGTTAACGTCCACCGGCGTTCCTCGCGTTCCCGTGTCGGGGGTAGGCGAATTCCACGAACACACCGGTTACAACGTATCCGTCTGCTCGTATTTCAGCCGCGTATCTCGCGTGCGGGATCGCGAGTTGGTGTCTGCGTCGAAATTCATCGGCGCACCGGGGGAGTAAGGACATTAGGCACGCGCGTACCTTCGCGGTCGCATTCACGCGGCTATTGTTCGGAAGAGGAAGTCGCGCGATGCGAGTCGCGAGCTAGTTGTAGGCTTGATAAAGGCGCTACAGAGTAGAGACGGTGCTGGTAGCGGCAACATCAGCGTTACAGTAAGTAATAATTATAAATACAAAAAGACTGGACATGCCTTTGTCCAGATTGCTTCGATACCAGGGATTTAACCCCATCACTTAGTGTCTAGAGTTCAGCCTTGGCATATCTTATCGTTATTAAGAAAGGCATGTCCAGTCTTGTTGAATCTGTAGTTAGCGTAATTCGTGAACGTGTTGCATCCCAGAATCGCCACCCCCAATGCGGACAGAGCGAAGAGGATGATCTAGTCATCCCCTTAAAACTAGATCCCCGCCAAAATTGGTAGGTTCCTTTAGGGTCGCGGGCGTCTGGAGTGGGGGCTCCGGGCGCCCGTGCACACGGCCCAAGGAATGGACGGCACCGGGTGCGACCCCCGGTGTCGGCCACAGGGTAGGCACTTGTGGGAGGTATTAGTTTAGAGCTTCTCCAAGTTCTCGGAACCTTCCCTTAGTGCCAGTGTCGGTCGCCGTGGGGTTTTAGTCAGTAGGAATCTGACACTCCCCCGCCGCCCTCCCCCAGGGGACGGTGGGGGGTCTTATGCAAGATTTCCCCACGTTAAAAAACAAAAAAAAAAAAAAGAATTTACAGGAATATTGCGCCCTCCAGCGGTAAACAAAAGAACCACAGTACGAATAAATTTTGCGCCCTCTGGTGGCGAAAAAAGAATTAAAGCTTGCAGCAATTTTGGCCCTCTAGCGGCAAAAATGTGAACTAAATTTTCGATGTCGAATCAGCGCCCCCTGGTGGCGGAAAAAGGAACTAAAGCTTGCAGCAATTTTGGCCATCTAGCGGCAAAAATGCGAACTAAATTTTCGATGTCGAATCAGCGCCCTCTGGTGGCGAAAAAAAGAATTAAAGCTTGCAGCAATTTTGGCCCTCTAGCGGCAAAAATGCGAACTAAATTTTCGATGTCGAATCAGCGCCCTCTGGTGGCGAAAAAAAGAATTAAAGCTTGCAGCAATTTTGGCCCTCTAGCGGCAAAAATGCGAACTAAATTTTCGATGTCGAATCAGCGCCCTCTGGTGGCGAAAAAAGGAACTAAAGCTTGCAGCAATTTTGTCCCCCTAGCGGCAAAAATGTGAACTAAAATGTCGACCTCGAATCAGCGCCCTCTGGTGGTAAAAAAAGGAACTAACTTTGTAACGATTTCCTACTCAAAAAGAGCTTACAACCGATATAGGGATACAAGGGACACAAGTGATACAAGGGTGGGCCCTGCAAAACCTATAAAGAGAGATAAAGTAATAAACAAATTGGATACTGAGCCGAGACCCATAAGAGGAATAAAATCATAAATTTCATCCCCCTTATGAGCTCATTCAATAAGCTAAAAAAGTAAATAAAGTACATTAAATAACATAGAAAGAAAATTGGGTAAATTAAATAACTCACTTACATTTTTAAAATAATTTATTCACCAAAAAGAATGAAGTGAATACAAGATTATAGGTACAATAATTATTTTACAATTTTATTATTCTTCTGTTGGTTTTGATTGATATCTAAATGAACAGAATCAAAGAAAGTCAAAATTGTGTCTTCTTAGTTGTCAGTGCGGGGTGTGGTGAAAAAGGGACTGCAAAACGGCACGATTGGGGGTGTCTGGGACCCTCGAAATCATGACCCCTCGAGAACAAAGGCAGGCCTATGGTCTTTTTGCATCTGTAGTCACTGCAGTCAGCATCGGTGTTCGAAGAGGAAAGGAGATATACAGAGAAAGAGGGAGAGAGTAAGGGCCCCGAGGCGGACGACGGGAGATGGGCTGTGCGAAGCATCCTGGCGTGGCGTGGAGTGGAGTGGAGTGGAGTGGCGTGGCTGTGCCGTGCCGTGCCATGCCGTACTCTGCCATGCCATGCCGAGTCGAGCCGAGCAGGGCCGTGCACCGGTACACGGTGTTCGTGTTCCACGGCTTCGGTTCTCTCTCGTACGCGTTCATACGTGTACAGACGCGACCGTGTTGGCAGA